CACAGACAACCTCTCGTCAATATGCGTTTTCTGCATTGCATAGCTGCAAAAAACGCATAAAAATATCTGGGCATTAAATCCAGTACGACTCTGCTTTGAAACTGCAAAAAATCACAAAATGATTGCCTTATCAAGAACGATTTATGAATCACAGAAGTTGACGAAATCAACACAATACCACAGTCAAATGCATACGTTTTAAAATCGATTTAAAGAATTATTTTAGGCATCCCAATCTGTCGGTTTCCTGGAAAACCGGACCATGGCGATACCACGTCACCCGCCAAACCCTACTATCTTGTTGGAGAAAAGGTTGTGTACTACTGCACCTCAACGGAACATCGTCTGGATTCAGAAAATGTACTGGAATGTACGTCTTCGGAAAAATGGAGTCGAAAAGTCCCTCGTTGTATAAGTACGGAAAAATTTAGTAATAAAAATCGACAGTAGTTACTATCAGTATAAGCACAAAGATAACAGAACTGCACGTTAAATGTTCGAGTAAGCGCGCACAATGTTTCGAATCTATTAATAGCAATATGTGCATTAGCAGTGTTACTGGTATGCTCCCACACCCAAACGCTGCTATACCAGACGCACTGGCTGCACTGTATACCATCAGTTTTTACTGAATATTTAGTAATTTAAATTTTTACTAGTCAAGGATGTACGTTTTCCAAGTACTGAACGCTGCAGAAAAACGACGGAAGGCTGTGACAGACAGTGAAGACACAAATGGAAAATGTAAAATCTCGTAATGGGTCAAATTTGAACATTCAGCTTTGGCAGTTCCAATGGAGACACTTCAAACGCTGCATACTGCTCGTTGGTTTGCTGTGTTACACGTATGAATGTTGCCCGTTTTGATAATTCTTTCAACCGTCTTGCTCCTGTATAAGTACATGCGGAGCGCAGTCCACCCAGTAGATCCAGTACTGTTTTCGAGACGTCTCCCCTGCAAAAAAAAAAACTTCCGGTTCTTAACAGCACTCTGGCAAAAGCTTTCATGGTTTCGAAATGCCGTTGGTGTGTGTTGATTTGCCATCGAAATGAATCAAAGGAACTTGTCGGAAAAAATTTTCTGCTGGCAGATTTTAAACAATGGCTAAATAAAGAAGGCACCACTTATCTTTTAGAGGACGGCTGCGAAGCCAAGCTTGAAGCGACGTTTCGACTTTTAAAAAATCATTTGCACAGCTACTCACCTGTAAGGAATTGTAATCGTCCTGCCTTCTGATGCGCGATATTCGGCTACACTACCGCGATGCTTCCTCATTGCTGTATCAGATGACATCCCATAAAATAGTCTGAATTTCTGCCCGTTCTTCTCAAATATATCACCACCGCTTTGATCGTGTCCAGCAAAAAGACCTGTAATTTCTAGTTAGTAATGTCATCACCCACAATCCCAGAAATTAGGTCCCTAGGCTGCGGAATTTCCCATTAAAATCGTACCAGACATAAAACATAAGCATACGTGAAAGCTGAATTTGAAACCTTGGACGGGGAATTTGAATCCCTAGTTTTCCGGCTTACGAATGACTATTGCGTTAAAGCGCACATGAAACTTCGGCATACGTGGGACTAAATTTGAGTTTGTGAGACTCTTGCATACGCAGAAAACATTCTCTAGAAATTTTCAGCCTCCTAATTTCCGTAGTTCCCGAGATAATTTCCCCTGCCAAAACTTTTGCGGGGTCGCACATGGACGAGGAATATTACGTTAAAATTTCAGTCTCCTAGCTTTTGTGGTTCTCGGGTTGAAAACGCGGAACAAAATGCACCTGGGCACACACACACAAACAGGGATGTGATATTTGCGTTTTGCGCTGCTTTTACATACCACAAAATGCATAAACAGGGAGTAAATGAGCAGTGCTGGAAGAAATTTAAAACAAATTAATCCCTTACTTATCGAATGGTATTTACATAGTGGTAAAAAAAAAAAATGCGTAAAAAACCTCGTTTGAATGGTTATACGGAATTAAGTGAATGAGATAAACTCGAAATAGAGAAGAATAGAAAAGCTGTCATTGTATAACAAGAAGTGAGACCATAAAACAAATGCTGAGCAAAGCAAGGGACGTTTAAATATTGGAGAGTCAATTTAGGCAAAAATGGCACAAGAAACCACTGAAGGCCTGACAAATTTGAGGCTACGCTTGACCATCATGGGATTTTTCGCAAGTCTCTATTTCATAATGGGAGCGACATACGAAGAGAGTCTTGATTATTTCATTTGGCATGTATTTTTCGCCACGATTCAAAGAAATTTTGCAGAAGTTTGAAAAGCTACCAGAATTAGTGAAGCAAATTACCTCCAATCATCACGAAATCAGCTCCAGCACCAAAAGCTTTCGCAACATCGCCGGGATTTGTGCATCCGCCATCACTCATTACATGACCGTTCAGGCCATGCGAGGCATCAGCACATTCTATTACGGCACTCAGCTGAGGGTATCCAACTCCAGCTTTTTTCCGTGTTGTACATACTGAACCAGGACCAATGCCTACCTCAAAATTACGGCGTTTATGCAATTAATCACACAGTCAGAGCAAAGTAACGCAGTGTATCAGTAAATAAATGACTACTGGTAGGTGCAACCAATCCATGCACACGCATACACATACAGCAATTACTGAGTTCATCCGGAATACCACCGTGGAGTTCTGCAGCTAATGATGCACCCACACGCCAGACCTAGTCAGTCGATTCCATCCTGGGCTTATGCGTTTGTTACGTGTTTTAAGCCATGTGCGCTACGTAAATACCGTCATTTTTTTCGGAGATTTGCAAACCTTCAGATTAATAATCTAATAAAGGTAAACCTTTACAACATCAGCTCCGGATAAAATCAATTCTTCGGTCATTTCCCCGGTGACCACATTACCAGCGAATATTGTATGTTGGGGAAATCGCTCTCGAACTCGTCTTATAAAATCCACAAATACTTCCGAATATCCATTTGCAACATCCAGGCAAATGTACTGCACATCTGGTATTAATTCACAAATCCTCGTTAGCTTCGTAAAATCCGAATCAGAGATCCCAGATGAAACACTAATTTGTGATAATATCTGGAAAAACGAATAACTCCTAGTACCTGAAGAAACAAGAATAAATTTTATCTTGATCTAGAAGTGCTGATGTTTGGGACAAGACAAATATATGCTAGACACAGGCCAAGTACATCTCGAAACGGTTAAATCCACTGTCAAGTAGTTCTGCTTGGAAAACCACTGCGCTTGATCAAAGCAACTATGAAAGTGAGGAAGTAGTCAGCCGCGTAAACGGAAACTTAGATTAAGAATTAACAAATTTTTAAGGTACCAGGA